TTTGTGTACTGATTTAAGGAAACGTAGACATACAAAGTAGTTTTTTTTTTTTTTCAGATCCCGTGTAGCTGGCTAGCAGGTAACTTGATTTTTTTTTTTTTTAATAGTTTACAATTTGAAGAATAGGGAGAAGAAAATTTTTTAAGATGGTGATGAAATTCAAAACTCAACAAACTAACCTAAGCATTTTAAGATTTGAAAACGAATCATTTGAACTCAAAAGCTCGGTTCATCATTTTTGTTTTTTCAATGGCGGCACAGTAGCAGGTAATATGATTGATTTATTAGCTGCTTTTAGTTCAGAAGATAGAATAGGCATGATTATTAAAATATATATTTTTTTTAATATGTGTTCGTAGAATATATATTGAAAGTATAATAAATATATTTTTAATATTAATTAATATTTAAAATAATAAAAATTAATATTAATTTTATCATTAATAATATATAAATTATTTTAATTAAAAAGTCAATTAAATAATAATCAAATTTTCTTTTGTAATAACAATTAATATAAAAACAAATAATAATTTATAGATGCATTTTTTATCACTTTTTAGTATGATTTTTTATGTCAATAATTAATTCTTTTTATTCATTTAAAATTTACGTTATTAAATATATCTATTTATTTAATAATGTGTAAAAACTATATTAAAAAATTGTATAAAAATAGTTACCTCCATATCAAAGCTCTACACAAATAATACCTTTAACTTATATTATTAACACAAATTTAAAAAATTCTTAAAAGAATAACTGCATCTATCATGATATGTTTTATGTTATCCCCATTTTTTTAAATGAAGATTTGTTTGTTAGGTTCTACTACTGCATCATGATATGTTTTCCATATCATTCTGACACAAAGAAACAAAAAAATATTTGCAACTTGCTAAATAGATTGCTTTGTCCTTAATTTGTTTCCGTCCAAAACCTGAATTTCTAACAAACAAGACAAATACATGGAATCAAATTCATTTAACTGATGTATTGTATGTATCTCACTTGGAGTGGCTTATTTATTTATTTTTTTTTATATTAACCTCTCGATATCCGTTAATCACATTGAGTTATGACTAATTCAAAATCGATCTGTATTGGACCCCATTAAGAGAGAAGCTCCCTAAGTGTTTGTTTCTCCATTCATAAAATTCGAACTCGAAACCTTGTTTAAGGAGATTCGAGTTATTTCCACTTGAACCAATAAGTCGTTGGTATTTTGCGTGATTTATATTTTTGAGAAAATCAATCTATGGCACGAAATCAATGACAAGATGTACTTTTAATATGAAAATGTTATGTTTACAATATTATGTTTTATTATAAATTTATAATATAATGTATCATTAGATAATTAGTTAATTT